GAGTTTTGCTCTTGTTGCCCAGGCTGGAGTACAGTGGCGATCTCGGCTCACTGCCATCTCTGCCTCCCCTGTTCAAGCTAGTCTCCTGTCTCAGCCTTCAGAGTAGCTGGGACTACAGGCGCCTGCCACCATACCCAGCTAATTCTAATTTCTGTATTTTTAGTAGAGACGGGGTTTCACCTTGTTGGTCAGGCTGCTCTTGAACTCCTGACCTCAGGTGATCCACCCACCTTGGCCTCCCAAAGTGCTGGGATTACAGGCATGAGCCACTGTGCTGGGCTGACGACAATGTTTTATTGATGTTAATTTATTTTTATGTTTAAAGTATAACACTAGCTTATACAATCAAAGACAGTTCCATGTGCAAATACACACTCAATAAAGATTTGAATACATGAGCCACTGAAATGGGGAAGATGGGTGGAGGTTACAATACCCTTACCGTCTGCAGCAGCTATTTTTCTTCCTCCAAGTTGGGTTGATTGTAAAGTGAACCAGTTCTCATCCTATAGAGGTCATTGTGAATGGTGACAATTTTTTAATTCGCTTGCTTTTCAGACTCGGGATATAAATTAAATTAAAAAAACAAATAACCAAGAGTCCAGGAGTTGGCCCAAGATTGACTTCACCAATTCACAAGTTAACCATTTGCAACTCTTCTTTGATGGAGGCCAAATTCAACACATGGAGTGTCTAAAATTATTCTAATTGCAGTTTTAAAAAATAGATTTTGTTAATGAAATTTAAGTCGATCCTTTGCGGAGTTCCGGAAGCACTTCCAGAAACCTCTGTTGGAAAGCATTGTTTACCCAGCCTCGCACTACAGTCCCTTTCCCCCAATCAGAAACTTGAATCTTTCTCCCTACTTCCCTTGATTCCTCCTCTTCCTATCAGCGATCGGTCCCGCAGGCAGCGGTCAAGTTACTTTGAGCGACAAATAGACCCACCCCCTCAGGAGAGTGTTCGTCTCCGCCCCGAAGAGGTTGATTGGCAGGCCACGCTCAGAGATCCGCCAACCTGGTAGCCCGGCTTCGGGAGAATCCACCCCCTTCCCGCCCCATAGGTTTGTTTTGGCGTCAGCCGCGCTCTGTGATGACGCCAAGACGCTAACGCCCGAGAATGGCGGCGGCGGCGGTGGCGGCGGTGGCCGCGGCCACTGCCCGGAGATGGCCCGCAGAGCCACCAAGACGCCGAAGAGCCCGCCGCCCGCGCGAGGTGAGGCGGCCCGGCCCAGGGCGACGGCCCGACGGGCGGGAGGGGCAGCCGAACTGTGGCCGTGGTCGCTTTCTGGCGCACAGGGGCCTGCCCCTGGTCAGCCCGTAGCCTCGGCCTTTGCCCCGTGCGCCAGGGCCTCCAGGGTCGGAGAGCAGGCCGGGCGATGGCTGCTCGGGGTCCGCGGCGTCCGAGTCTGGTCTGGCTTCGAAACGTGCTGTTGTGCTGGGTAGCCCGTCGCTAGGCCCGCGTGGGCCTGGTGGACGTGCTTGGCTGCCCTGCCTGGTTGCTGTTCAGCTGCCCCGCGTCCAGAGCGGGTCAGGTTTATCCAACCCGCTTGTCCTTACTGTCTTCTGGCGTCTGGCTCCTACTCCACATCCATCCTCTGCGTCTGCCAGGGGCCGGTAGGGCAGCTGATCGCTTCCTTGTGCAGGCTGGGAAAAAGCAGATCTGAATCCAGCTGGGTTGCCTGCTTGGCAAGCTTGTCATTCCTCTACCTGCAAGGAGAAACCTAGCCCCCCCGCCCCACACTTAGTCCCCCTCCATAAAGCGGTTGAAGTGGTAATTCCCACCTGGAAATCTGAATAAGCTCTTTACTGCCTGAAACTGGTTCCTTAGTGCCTTCAGGACAAAAGCCAGATTTTATTTTTTTTGGAGACAGAGTCTTACTCTGTCGTCAGGCTGGAGTGCAGTGGTGCAATCTCAGTTCACTGCAACCTCTGCCGCCTGCGTTCAAGCGATTCTCCTGCCTCAGCTTCCCCAG